CGACAATCATCAGTAATAACTTTTTACTAGTACTGACTTCAATATGTTTAGGCTAGCCTAGATCTGGTCTGCACAGGCAAGTCTTGTTTGCATGAAATCCTGCGCACCCTCAACCGCGACTAAATCTGCAATGCCCTCAGTCGGTCACTGTATACGGTAGACGAGAACCTGTAACAGAAGCATCTCATGCACGGGATCGCCTTCTGGTCTCTTCTATGCAGCCATGTTTCATGCCCCATCGACAGTACAGTACAATTACACTTTCACAAGGTGTTGCATGCATCTGCATGTTGCCCATCAAAGCTCATGGGTGGCCCACGTCCAACATGAAAAGCACTAGCTGCACACGGCCTGCATCTCTCTTCAAGAGGTGAAGCCGTGCGTCAGTATCCGCGCTGACTTGCTTGCCCATGTGCCCTTTCAAAAATCGAGCCTGAACCCAGCGTAGTCTCACTGGACCGCGGACGACGACAAGCTTATCACGTTCTCCCTCATATGTCCGAGGTTCTCCGCATGTCCTGGTCGTCATGCCAGGCCGCACGACTTGACAAGGGCAGTAAATCGTATTAGAGCCGGACGCTACCAGCGCGGGATAGACTTAAACAGTTTCGGGCCAGCCAGAGACCACCCCATCTGTAAAACTGGGTGAAGTTTGCATCTGAACGATCCGGAGTCGAGTGGAGTGCAAGTTGGGAACCCTAGATTCTAGCCAAGTGCACAAGGCAGTCATGCACTCTTCAACAGAAGGCTACACACTTGTGAAGGCCAAGCACAACCAGTGCAAAAAAAAAGGATGCATGACAATCGAATCTGCAGCAGGAGTGACCCACAAGATCGCCAGTACCTTCACCGTGATGCTCTCTACCTGCCTGAGGCGTCCAACTTCTGTGGCCCCACCACCGCAATTGTCTTGTGGCGGCCAGAGCTTCAGGTTCAGAATTTCTGGATCCGGACTTAAGATAACTTGAAGGCTCCACAAAAAGGCAATACTGGATAAGGCTAGTGGCACATTGCCGGATCCGGGACGACCCGTCTGTGCTTGCATGGTCACTGAGGCGAGAGTCCGCCATCCTTCCTACATTTGCAACATCAAGGCTCCCTCCACGTTAGAGGAGATTCATCTTGTAAGATTTTTGAGGGAGCCCCAATTACGGCTGCGCTACTGGCAGTTGAGGTGCTGCCCACATCATTGCATTCCAACTTGAGGACACTGACCTGAGTCGAAACCCTGCAACACGAAACAACCAGGCTCCGCCACACAAGAACAGCCGAGAGCCAAGTCATCAAGAAGCAAGAACGACAGCTGAACGCAATAGAAGCAAGCATGAAAGGCCAACAAATCTATCAGAAACACCTGTTTCCTGCAGTCGATAGAAACAGGCGCAGGCTTGCCTCGGTGCGACCTTGATCTGCAGCAGTCGAACAGTATATTATCGAGCGGCACTCGTGTGTGTCAACATTGGGTGCTTCGCGCTTTCATGCATGGAAGTTCTGACACTCGAAACGGTAAGCACAGTGGAATCATCCCAAACAGGTCAAGAGCGCCTGTGTACACAGCAATTTAGCCGGCAAACACTACCTACGAACATACTTGGAGCAACGGAGAAACGTGAAACGTTTGGTTCGTGTTCGTGTGCATGTATCTGCAAAGTGCAGGTTTACATGTAGATACATACATACGTGTACAAAAACATGAGACATGTGTATATATATATATACATATATAACATACAGCTTGTATAAACAAACATACACGAAGGCACATATACATCATCTTACATACACACATAAACACATACATGCTTACATACATACATACATACATACATACATACATACGTATATGTGCCAATATATGTGTGTGTATATATATATATATATATATATATATATATATATGAAAATCGTACAGTGGTGCTCATGTCGTACAAATACAGATGCGATCTTGTCCGATTATGTTGCTAGTTGTCTCCTGCTACAAGTAGCTACACTTGCTGTCACGTAAACAGATGGGTCGCTAGAATCTCGGTGCTTGAAGCTTGCTTGCATGAAGCGGTAGGCAGCGTTTTCGCGAACAAAAACGCGATTTGATGAACCACAGCCCCAACCCTGTATCCGCCCCCACCGAACAAAAAAGCGCAACATGGCGGGGTCGGGCAGGCATAGCGGTTGGCGTGGCGGGTGTGGCGCGCCGGCATGCTAGCATGCGGGGAGCACCGCAGCCGTGCAACCGGACAGGATAGGAATGTGGTCGGGGTAGGGACCTGCATGGTGCAAAGTCAGGGAGTGGAGGGACGAAGGGTAGGGAAGGCTGGCCAGGGCAGGTTATCGAGCTTGCGATAAGAAGTCGCCACGACAATGGGGTTAGCTCTGTGACGCTCCTTTTGGCACCTGGCCATGGTGCCTAGCCTAGCCATATGCCCATGCCCCATCAGCAGTCTGTGTTCCCAACCTTGCCTGCCGATTGCCATTGCAAGCCGCGCCATGTAATGGCATGGCATGCTTTACAGGTGGTTTGGTCAGGTAGGGTTTTGGGGTAGGTCAGGGTCGGGGTCGGAGCTGACGCAGCAAGCTTGCGCGAGCAGGGATGGCCAGGGGTGGAGGGGGCGGAGGCCACTTCGATCATTTCCACTGAAGGATGGGCTGGGTGGGCGGGGTGCGGCATGGTAGGGTAGGGCAGGGCAAAACAAACCTGGGCAGATATGTGCAAGTGCCATCCCTGTTCGATTTGACAGGACAATGATTGCTGAACAACCGGGCGGCTGCCATGATGCCTATCTTAGTGCGCAGTGGTCTTGGTGCTCGATACGAGGGTGGTTGGCGCTGGAAGCTTGTTGCTTAAAGCTGGCTTGCACGAAGCGCCCCAGGTTGCAAATTCAGGAATCTCCATTGACAGATGGATGAAGACAGTAGATACGAGCTGGATGGAACATGATGGAACCGAGTGCTGATGACGAAAGTATTTCCGCACTCACGAAAATGAAGTCAATTGCCTTGCCGAGGAGCTGGTCACACTGCATCATCAAGTGCTTCGCCTTCCGACGATTCTTGATCTCCTCCTAGCAGAGATGTTGGCGGATGCAGAAGCATAAGCAGCAGCAACAGCAACAGCGGCAGCACCACCATCACCGCCACCACCAGCAGCAGCACCATCAGCAGCACCTGCGGCAGCACCAGCAGCCCAGCACCAGCAGCCCAGACCGGCACCCGCAACAAGCACCAACACCCAGCAGCATCAGCCGCACCAGCAGCATCATTATCATCATCACCACCACCATCATCATCGCTTCCGATCACTAACTTAATCCGAGGTGTCAGGGAAACACCAATACGTGTGATCCACTGGTTCAACCTGCGTCTTCGCTTCGCGGTCTGGAATCGCGGAGATTGCCCAAGCCCAAACCCTGTACACGTCCTGAGGGCAAAGATGACAGTGGCGGCATTCCTCGCCATTTTCGCATCCCTGGCTGTCATTTATTTAACCATCGAGTATCGTAAGCACTTAGAAGCTTGGTCATTCTTGTGATGGGCTCTGAAGAGATCGAGAGAGCCCGAGAGCCAGTGAATGAGAGCGCGCGAAAGACAGCGGGAGAGAGGAAGCGGGTGCAGTTCTGGTAGTGGCTGAGATGAGTCAGGCCTTCGGCTTCCAGAACCACGCACAAGGCCTGCCGGCGATGCAACAAGCTGTGGACTTAGCACCGTCAACCCTCAAGCGGCATCACAAATGCACGACACCGAGGCATGGCATGGCCCATGATTCTGCTTTCCTTTGCACGAGCCGCCCTGCCTGCAGAGCCCCGTACCGTGAAGACGAGACCCTTCGGATGGAAAAACGCGGGCCTCCTGTCAAAGTTAGAAGTGAAGCATCACCCGTGCTAATTATTCAGAGTTTGAAGGCTCATAAACTGCCTGATTAGGACATAGCACGCACACGATAGCCAAAGAAACTGAACAAGAAGACCCAGCTGACTAGAGGGGCACAGGGGTCATGTTCCGCAGCCGTTCGTCGACCATGGACCTTTTCACCCTGCCTGCTCGACACCGCCAAGCATCAACGGAGCATCACCTCTCGAGAGCGGAAACATGTCGAAGAGCTGGCGGGAGAGGCCGAGAAATACAAGTGGTAGGTGCGTGAGCCTTCTAAAAGGCCGAAGGCGTATGACTCCATCTGATGCTCGGGGATGTAGTCCGAGAGCCTCATGCTAGGTGCGTCACAAAACTCGAAATCATGGGAATAATTCGTTACAAATGTTACAAGTTGGCTTGAACCCGAACACGATTGCGTGCCCTCTCCCGAAACGCTGCATCTTGCACCCCGGAATTTTGCACATTATCTTGCTGCAGGCACCTCAGCGGAGTCACACCATCCTGTACACAAACAGAGCTCTGGCTCTCATCACAAGTTACAATCGGTGACTGGCTGTCCTCTTCGGAGGCTTCGGGACTCAGCCTCAGTAGGACGCTCCAAAAAATCGCCTCGGGCCTTCACGTCATGAGGAACAGCCTGAAACACCTACTTCAAGTACCTATACACACAGATGTGCTCACCGCCGTGACAAAATCTAGCTGCATAGCTCGACTGTCTCGGAGTGCTCCAAGCTTATGTCGAACTAACCAACTTTCTCAAGCCTGAGCTGCAGGCATCTCTGAGAGGCTAAGAGCCATCGGGGTGGAAGAGTCCTCCGGAACGAAAACGAAGAACATCTCTGTCAGGGCTCTTTGGAAGCTTGGTCCCTGGTCCTCCAGCTTCTCGAGGTGGCCGCTCTCAACCTTCCCAATGCCGCGAAGGCGCCAAGCCCGAGGGAGTTTTTGACGGGTCTGGAATTAGTTTGGGAATTTTTTTTTTGGGGGGGACATTTTTTTTTTTTTGTGGTTTGCTTGGCCGTGTTGCATTGCCTTGCAGGGTTTAGGGTTTAGGGTTCTGTTCAGGTTCGACACGCAGGATCCCTGTGAAGGGTTCATCGGGGACATAGAAAATTTGCACCGCGCCACAGCGCCAGCGCTTCGACACGCAGGATCCGTGTGGAGGGTTCTTCGGGAACGTAGAAAATTTGCACCGCACCACAGCGCCAGCGCTTCGACACGCAGGATCCCTGTGAAGGGTTCATCGGGGACACACAAAATTTGCGCCGCGCCACAGCGCCAGCGCTTCGACACGCAGGATCCCTGTGGAGGGTTCATCGGGAACGTAGAAAATTTGCACCGCACCACAGCGCCAGCGCTTCGACACGCAGGATCCCTGTGAAGGGTTCATCGGGGACACACAAAATTTGCGCCGCGCCACAGCGCCAGCGCTTCGACACGCAGGATCCCTGTGGAGGGTTCATCGGGAACGTAGAAAATTTGCACCGCACCACAGCGCCAGCGCTTCGACACGCAGGATCCCTGTGGAAGCTTCATCGGGGACGTTGAAAATTTGCACCGCGCCACAGCGCCGGCGCTTCGACACGCAGTATCCCTGTGGAGGGTTCATCGGGGACCTCCCCCCTTTGCAAACCTTTTAAATCCTTCACGATTGATTGTGTTTTCTTCGCATCAAACCACCCTGACGCGTTGTTGTCTGGACTTCTCCTTCTTGTGTTTTGGCGAATACGTTTTTGTGCATCTTTCGTGCCTTTAGTGAGCGGGGAGTTTAGTCTAAAAAAGCGGGGGGGTTGGGGGGGGGCGCAGCCCCCCCCATTTGCAAACCTTTTAAACCCTTCACGATTGATTGTGTTTACTTCGCATTAAGCCACCCTGACGCTTTGTTGTATTTACAAACCCTTTAAACCCTTCACGACTGACTGTGTTTTCTTCGCATTAAACCACCCTGACGCGTTGTTGTCTGGCTTTCTCCTTCTTCTGTGTTGGCGAATACGTTTTTGTGCATCTCTTCGTGCCAGTGAGCGGGGAGTTTAGCCAAAAAAAGCGGGGGGGCTTGGGGGGGGCGCAGCCTGCAAACCTTTTAAACCCTTCACGATTGATTGTGTTTACTTCGCATTAAACCACCCTGACGCGTTCTTGTCTGGCTTTCTTCTTCTTGTGTTTTGGCGAATACGTTTTTGTGCATTTCTTCGCGGCTTTTTAGTGAGCGGGGAGTTTAGCCTAAACAAAGCGGGGGGGTTGGGGGGGGCGCAGCCACCCCCCCAGTTGCAAACCTTTTAAATCCTTCACGATTGATTGTGTTTTCTTCGCATCAAACCACCCTGACGCGTTGTTGTCTGGACTTCTCCTTCTTGTGTTTTGGCGAATACGTTTTTGTGCATCTCTTCGTGCCTTTAGTGAGCGGGGAGTTTAGTCTAAAAAAAGCGGGGGGGTTTGGGGGGGGCGCTTTTAAACCCTTCACGATTGATTGTGTTTACTTCGCATTCAACCACCCTGTTTTCTTCGCATTAAACCACCCTGACGCGTTGTTGTCTGGCTTTCTCCTTCTTCTGTGTTGGCGAATACGTTTTTGTGCATCTCTTCGTGCCAGTGAGCGGGGAGTTTAGCCAAAAAAAAGCGGGGGGGCTTGGGGGGGCGCAGCCTGCAAACCTTTTAAACCCTTCACGATTGATTGTGTTTACTTCGCATTAAACCACCCTGGCGCGTTCTTGTCTGGCTTTCTTCTTCTTGTGTTTTGGCGAATACGTTTTTGTGCATTTCTTCGCGGCTTTTTAGTGAGCGGGGAGTTTAGCCTAAACAAAGCGGGGGGGTTGGGGGGGGCGCAGCCACCCCCCCAGTTGCAAACCTTTTAAATCCTTCACGATTGATTGTGTTTTCTTCGCATCAAACCACCCTGACGCGTTGTTGTCTGGACTTCTCCTTCTTGTGTTTTGGCGAATACGTTTTTGTGCATCTCTTCGTGCCTTTAGTGAGCGGGGAGTTTAGTCTAAAAAAAGCGGGGGGGTTGGGGGGGCGCAGCCCCCCCCATTTCCAAACCTTTTAAACCCTTCACGATTGATTGTGTTTACTTCGCATTCAACCACCCTGACGCTTTGTTGTATTTACAAACCCTTTAAACCCCTCACGACTGATTGTGTTGTCTTCGCATTAAACCACCCTGACGCGTTGTTGTCTGGCTTTCTCCTTCTACTGTGTTGGCGAATACGTTTTTGTGCATCTCTTCGTGCTAGTGAGCGGGGAGTTTAGTCTAAAAAAAGCGGGGGGGTTGGGGGGGGCGCAGCCTGCAAACCTTTTAAACCCTTCACGATTGATTGTGTTTACTTCGCATTAAACCACCCTGACGCGTTGTTGTCTGGACTTCTCCTTCTTGTGTTTTGGCGAATACGTTTTTGTGCATCTCTTCGCGGCTTTTTAGTGAGCGGGGAGTTTAGTCTAAAAAAAGCGGGGGGGTTGGGGGGGGCGCAGCCCCCCCCATTTCCAAACCTTTTAAACCCTTCACGATTGATTGTGTTTACTTCGCATTAAGCCACCCTGACGCTTTGTTGTATTTACAAACCCTTTAAACCCCTCACGACTGATTGTGTTGTCTTCGCATTAAACCACCCTGACGCGTTGTTGTCTGGCTTTCTCCTTCTACTGTGTTGGCGAATACGTTTTTGTGCATCTCTTCGTGCTAGTGAGCGGGGAGTTTAGTCTAAAAAAAGCGGGGGGTTGGGGGGGGCGCAGCCTGCAAACCTTTTAAACCCTTCACGATTGATTGTGTTTACTTCGCATTAAACCACCCTGACGCGTTCTTGTCTGGCTTTCTTCTTCTTGTGTTTTGGCGAATACGTTTTTGTGCATTTCTTCGCGGCTTTTTAGTGAGCGGGGAGTTTAGCCTAAACAAAGCGGGGGGGTTGGGGGGGCGCAGCCACCCCCCCAGTTGCAAACCTTTTAAATCCTTCACGATTGATTGTGTTTTCTTCGCATCAAACCACCCTGATGCGTTGTTGTCTGGACTTCTCCTTCTTGTGTTTTGGCGAATACGTTTTTGTGCATCTCTTCGTGCCTTTAGTGAGTGGGGAGTTTAGTCTAAAAAAAGCGGGGGGGTTGGGGGGGGGCGCATCCCCCCCCCATTTTCAAACCTTTTAAACCCTTCACGATTGATTGTGTTTACTTCGCGTTCAACCACCCTGTTTTCTTCGCATTAAACCACCCTGACGCGTTGTTGTCTGGCTTTCTCCTTCTTCTGTGTTGGCGAATACGTTTTTGTGCATCTCTTCGTGCCAGTGAGCGGGGAGTTTAGCCAAAAAAAAGCGGGGGGGCTTGGGGGGGCGCAGCCTGCAAACCTTTTAAACCCTTCACGATTGATTGTGTTTACTTCGCATTAAACCACCCTGGCGCGTTCTTGTCTGGCTTTCTTCTTCTTGTGTTTTGGCGAATACGTTTTTGTGCATTTCTTCGCGGCTTTTTAGTGAGCGGGGAGTTTAGCCTAAACAAAGCGGGGGGGTTGGGGGGGGCGCAGCCACCCCCCCAGTTGCAAACCTTTTAAATCTTTCACGATTGATTGTGTTTTCTTCGCATCAAACTACCCTGACCGCGTTGTTGTCTGGACTTCTCCTTCTTGTGTTTTGGCGAATACGTTTTTGTGCATCTCTTCGTGCCTTTAGTGAGCGGGGAGTTTAGTCTAAAAAAAGCGGGGGGGTTGGGGGGGGCGCAGCCCCCCCCCCATTTCCAAACCTTTTAAACCCTTCACGATTGATTGTGTTTACTTCGCATTCAACCACCCTGACGCTTTGTTGTATTTACAAACCCTTTAAACCCCTCACGACTGATTGTGTTGTCTTCGCATTAAACCACCCTGACGCGTTGTTGTCTGGCTTTCTCCTTCTACTGTGTTGGCGAATACGTTTTTGTGCATCTCTTCGTGCTAGTGAGCGGGGAGTTTAGTCTAAAAAAAGCGGGGGGGTTGGGGGGGGCGCAGCCTGCAAACCTTTTAAACCCTTCACGATTGATTGTGTTTACTTCGCATCAAACCACCCTGACGCTGTCTGGCTTTCTTCTTCTTGTGCTTTGGCGAATACGTTTTTGTGCATCTCTTCGCGGCTTTTTAGTGAGCGGGAAGTTTAGCCTAAAAAAAGCACCCTGACGCGTTGTTGTACGACATAAGGAGGCAGTATTCTCGAAGCTAGACAGTATAAGAAGTTGCGAAGTGAAAAAGCCAAGAAGCCGAAAAGCCAAGAAGCCAGAAGCCAAGAAGCCAGGGAAGCCGAGAAGCCAAAAGCCCAGAAGCCAGGGAATCCAAGAAGCCAGAAGCCAAGAAGCCAAGCGCGCACACAAGCCAAAAAAAAAAAAATGCCAAAAAAAAAAAAAAAAAATCCCAAAATAAATACACCTCCGTTTTTGACACCACTGAATTTTGTTGGCAGGGGAGGGATCCAGGGAAGCGGGATGCAGGGCTGGGATGTGCACCTGTCCCATTCCTGCTGATAGGAGCTGAGACGATGAAACAGACAGTCAGACAGTGACATTTAGTCTGTCCAGTCTGTTCTAGGGCTCTTGCTAGGCAACGATTACATAGCCTGCTTGATGCAGCTAGGTTCTGATCATTGTACCTCCACCGTCCGTCACTGCACTCGCTTGTTGTGCTTCTTGTCAAGATGTCAACAGGCGCCAAATGAAGTTCTAGAGGGCACTCGACCCGCCTTCAGCTTCGCTGGGGTGAATGCCTCCCAGACTGCTTCGCTGAGACGCGCAAGATGCAAAACGGAGCTTGGCATAGACATGTATAACTGTACTATCTATATATATATATATATATATACGGTATAAGCATCCGTCGACCAGCGTACAGCCGTGTCTCTCCACATAGCACTCAAGCAGCTCTGTGCTGGCCCCGCCTGTTCATCGAGGCCTGCCAAGAAACCAGCTGCTACGACTGCTCTAGACGTGCTCATTGCACCGAATGATGGCATCACTCGGCCAGCCTTCTAGCAGTTTGCTGGGGGTGAATGGCTTTGCACCAATGTAGTCCGAAAGCCTCGCACCATCTCACAGATGCACAGATGCAAGTCAACTCATCCAACTCCAGGGTGCACCCTGAAGAATGCAAATCTGGCACCTCAGAGGGGTGACGCTGTCCTGAAGCCCGTGGATCAGAGAATATCAGAGAATGACAACTCTGCCAGAGCCGCGTCTCTACATCACGCACCCAAAGTGAACCCCTTGACACCGCAGGTCTCCTCGCCAGAACCATCGGGGCTCAACCTTGGGCAAGGATCTGTCGCCTAGTTTCCTTCCGGGCTTCTGTGGCACTTGCATCCCCTCCTATCGAAAGCAGTGTGTGGTGGCCATGGGTCCCAGGAGGAGTGAGCTGGCTTCATCTAGTTTCTGACTTTGATCACGCTGCCCTTGCCGACTTTCGGATTCCCTAGTCCGCTGAGCCTATGGCATGTCTGAGAGACTGAGAGCCATCGGGGTGCAGGTGTCCTCCGGATTTCTGCGCTGGGACTTTACTGAGACCTCTGGAATTACACGTGTTCTGCGGCGTGGGCAACACCGAAGGCTCCTCGAACTTCTCCGGACAGCTTTCAGCCTTTCGTGTCAAGCCACGGCCACCCCAAGCAGAGCACGCAGGCGACTCACTCGCATTCGCTCATAGCATGGCCTTGGCCTGGAGCTTCGCTGGGGTTTCCGCCTCGAGTCTCTATGTCTAACCCTACATCTCCCGGCGAGGGTGGCACCATGCCCATGCCGGATTGTGATGGATTCACGTGTTAAAGACAGTGCAATAGAATTCAAGCATGGCAAATTTCCGAGAGATCAACGTTACACCCCAAAGAAAGCCATCGGAGAACTCAGGTGCACACCAAGCCAATTGAGGCCACCGGGCTCGGGTCCTTGGTGCAGGACCCCAGTTGACTTCTCTGTTTCATAGTTTCGTTCAACGCGGTTGTCAATCGAGATAAATTTTAAATAGCCAGGATCAACAACATTCACCGCATAGCCGTTCTGTGATCAAGTAACTGTTCTTCCCTCCTCTTGCCTTTTTGGTTCCTCGCCTTCAGAAGGTACGCTTGTAAGCAGGCGGCCAAGCCAGGTGGCGGCTTGAACGTCGGCACGGAGTCTGCACAGCCAGGGGGGGAATTGCGCACTCGGTCTGGCTTCAGCGCTAACACACACAAGGTCATACAATGCCTCCTCCTAGTGCAGACGTGGGCGACGGCGCCACCTTCTGAGGCTCCTGTGCTCAGGACGAGCAGTCATCGGTGACGTGAGATACCCACGGACTTCGAAAGTCGTCGGGGTTCCGCATCCAGTCGAGTCACTTGCAGGTCTCCAGGCATGTCTGGTAAATCCAGCGCACGTACTTCGGGAAGGTCCACTTTCCTCAGCAGCGCATAGTCGCACTGGACGAGGCAAGGCAAAGACTTGGGCACGTTCATCTCTTGCACTTGTACACGCCCGTGCCATGTGCAGGACGTCCACTCTCAATGCAAGACAGGTAAAAAGTCTTCGACAAAACGGTCTCACAGCCCATCAGTGTGGCTGAGAGGCAGCGGCTCTAGTGGCTCCAGCGGCACGGACATGGGGAGGTTCCAGCTGACATCCGCCTTACGGAGTCCAGAAAAGCAAGGGTCATGCTGCGACTAGCTTCCTCCCCTGCGAACTCACTCCGAACAAGCTGAGAATACTACAAACCCCGTGCAGCCTGTAACGTGAAAAACCGCAAATGCAGGCCTGCTCCTCTTCCTTGGCATGCTTGTCCTTGGCCTTCCTCAGCAAGGATGTTGCATGCAAAGCCGTGTTCCTTTTCCGAAACACCATGTGCAAGTCCTGGTTGACGGAAACCTCTGTAATCCGCCGAGGCCAGAGGCCTCTGGCGTCTTGATGGTTAATACTAACCAACCCTCTACCTGATCCTTCTCCCTGCACCCAAATGCAAACTTCCAACCGCCTTGCCCGGCTTCCGTCCTTTTTTGCTGCCCCCCCCCCCCCGGCTCCCCCCTCCTGCCCCCCCCTCCCGGGCCCCTCCTTCCTGCCCCCCCCCTCTGTGGTCATCCTGCCATATCCTGCCCCCCCCCCCCCCCTGAGATGTAACCTGGACGTGTATCCCCTCGCTAGGCGTACAGGAACACAGGCACTCAGGTGTCTCTTTTCTACAGGCGCACAGCTGTAGTCCACTGCGCTAGAACCTTGAGCAACAGGCATGGATACATGCAAGTGATACGTGAAACAGACAGGACCTGGATGTGTACCATTCAGTGTTTCAACCAGGCACAAATTTAAAACACGTAGAGCTGCATGGCCGTGGAGTCGGCATTCAACTAGCCTGTTATTGCTCTCGGTCGAATTAGCGGAGTATTGAGCTACATCTGCGACTTGAAGAGAATCTATACATCTCTCACCTGAAGACAGCTTCAATGAAAAGAGTAGAACACGCACGAAAAACGCAAACGGATCTTCAACTGAAAACTTTTGCTTGAAAGTTGCCCACTTGTGTTCAGTTTCCTCTCCAGGCGGAAAGCTTACTGTCACATAAAAGATTGTAGAGCTTAGCTCCACTTGATGCCAGCATGACATCTTGCGACCCGGCAAATATATAAGGGCATTAGAAGTATCTTATCCTGAGATAAGTATCTTTCTTTGAGAAAGAGTTCTTTAGGAAGTCCCTTTTCCTGAGAAAAGCATCTCCCTATGAAATGGCGAATGCTCAAAGTGGATACCTTCTTATGAAAGAAGCATTCCGTGAAACACACAGCCAGTTCAGTCGACGAACTCTAGGTCTCGATCCCAGGTTCTATCACGCCAATGATCCTCACCATGCCAACGGTAGATGTCGACAGTGTGAATCGGCATCACCGGCTGATGACGAACAGGGTCGTAACCGCGGGGATCAGCAGGGGATCTAGGTAGCGATATCTGTGGATCTGGAGCAACGTCTTCAACTTGTTCCAAAGGAACTTCTTCAGAACCATTGTCCATATCCACGTCCGAAGAATCGGAACCTAGTCAGTTCTTCCCCTTGTTCTTGCCCTTGGACTTGTCCCTGGATTTGCCTTTGGACTTGCCCTTGTCGGCGTCCTTGCCTTTTCCTTTGGAGGACTTGCCTCCTTTGCCGCCTTCTTTGCCACCAGGAGGTTGTGCGGGCTCTTGAGGACGTTGAGAACCAGAAGCTTTAGCACCAGAAGCTGCCTCTTCCTGAGAAGAGCTTGCTCCCTGTGGTGCGGCTGCAGGACCAGTAGAACCAGAACCACGCGCCTTGTTCAGCTTCTGTCTCTCTTTTCTTCTGTCCGCGGCTTCCTTCATGGTGTCGGGATTGCGGTTGAGCGCTCTCATCCTGCCTCCAGAGTACTGGTTCGCGTGAACCTCGATGAGGAGCGGAGTGTGAGCGTCATAGTCCCGATCGTTGAGAAGGTATGCGGCGCTGGTGGAATTTAACAGCCACTCAGAGACATGGATGTCGAACTCGGTCTTTGAAGACGGAAACTCCGCCCATTGATCGTCCGACATGCTGTGTCCCCATTCCATGACTGTAGCCATAACAGGATCCAAACCAGGAAAAGTATTCCAGTCTGGTTGCTTAGCTTCCTTGTATGGCATTCCCAGCGTGTCCTCATACTGTTTCAGAAGCCACATGGCGTTTGCTGACACATGTCTCGCACGAGGCGAACAGAAGTGTGGGCACTTTGGGCTTTCTGACCAGGCCTCCAAGAAGTAGTCGAGAAGGCTTTGGTACATCCCGCCACGAATATCCATTGACTCCTGCTTTCTGCCGGTGGCCCGGTAGAGGGCCATGTTGGCGTCGCCACCGATGAGGTCGACTTGGTAGTGCAAGCAGTCAACGAACATATTGCCCAACACTTCATGAGCCAACGCCACCTTGTCTGCCGCCGCGTCGTTGTGGAGGTGGAAGACACAAACTCTGATCCGGTCGGATCCAGCTCGCTCCAAGACCTTGGTCAGTGACTCATCTGGAACATCACCACGATTGCCCTGGAGGCCGGTCGGTAACGTCATGCCATACACGATTTCCACGACCATATAGGTTATTGGAAGGGACTCGTGGGCATATCCACTGAGAGTGGAGCCGGCAAGACGGGTGATCGAAGATCCGACACCATTAGTACGACTTCCTACCATCAGGTCCTTGGACTCGTTACGCAGGAATTGCCACCCGCGTGACTTGAGGAAGGCCTCCTCGGAGTCATCGATTGTAGTCGCTTCGCAGAGCATAAACAAATGCGTCTTCGACTGTGCAATCGATTTTATCAAGGCTCCCTTAGATAGTGTAGCATCGTCCCAGTCAGTGTGATTAGCAACGGAGCTAGGAGCGGAACGCTTCCTTCCCCTGCTCATGTTGCCAAGATTGATGATGAGCGCGGCGTACTTGGTCTTGCTGGTGAAGATAGGGACATTGGAGTCTTCTGCCAGACCAAAACGATGAATATAAGGATTCGGCATCTTCTCAAGAGAGAGGTCCCCGATCTCCTCTTCATCGACTCCGGTGCTCAAGAAGTAGTGAAGCATAGCATTCAAGAGTTCTTCTCGAGTTGCCGGATTGCCGCTTGCATCCAGGGACTTCAGCTTATCAAGAAGTGCTTCCATAACCTCCCATGCTGATTCTCGGATGTCAGAGGCCTTGCCCATGAGCTTGTCATCCAAGGTGCTGCGAACGTCCCCAGAACGAAAGACAACGTCCTTCTTGTCGGGACGACGCTCATAGATGGGAGCCATCTTGTTGAGTTGGTCGAATAGGTCCCCCATAGAGAGAGAGAGTATTTCTGTCCCTTGTGATTCGGAACATTTACCCTCCAACTCATATGCTGCACCTTGTAGGCGAGAAGGGGCTCGTAGTCAGGATCACGAAGTCCTGTATGATACAAGCCTGAATAGCCATATCCATGCAACTGCTTGCAGAGCAGCCGCATAGGGCTTTGTCGTTCGATTTCGGTGAGATGCGTAAGGAAATGTTTGAACTCTTCGAGATCAACGAGCTCGATGTTTTCCTTTGCTTTGCCCATCTTGTCGAACGCGTTCTCATTCTGGTCCTCTGCATCCTTCGCGGCCTGGTAGTACTCAGGATCCGGAACAGTCTTGCATTTCCCCCAGATGCCTTGATCGTGAAGTTCACTTTCATCATCCTTCTCGGGAGAAATGTCTGGCATGGATTCCTCACCCTGTGGTGAGCCTTCCTCAGCCATCTCGATGTTCTCGGACTTACCTCCTTCCTGACCCATGTGCTCATCAGATTCGACCTTCACCTCGGATGCCTCTCCCCGTGGAGAGCTTTCCGTGGCTTCGGTCTTCTGTTGTGGAACATCCACCCCAGATGCCTCTCCCTGTGGAAAGCTTTCCGGAGCGTCCGTCTCCATTGGCTCGACAGTAGCCCCAGATACCTCTCCCTGTGGAGAGCTTTCTGGAGCTTCAGTCTCCATTGGCACATCGGTCGGCTCGGTCTTAACCGGATCAACCTTCTTGCCCTGTGGCAAGTCCGTGGATCCAGACGACGGTTCGGAGGTATCCATCTGAGTAGCCGCGGGAGGCTCCTCGATTTCCTCGATCTGTGGACATGGGAGTCGCTCGATGAACTCCTCGATCATAATGTCTTCATATGGTCGAGTGAGGAGCTCATTCAGCTCGGACTCCTTCTTCTTCAAGTCCTCGTAAGCTACCAAGTCCGCTTTGGCCTTTCGTGCAAAAGCCGATTTGAAATCTCGGTGCTCAGATTCTGCGAAGACTTTCTCCAGAACGGCCAGGATGTAGCTGCCGCTGAACGGCTGCTTGAGGGTACTGTCATAGAGACTATAGCCCTCAGGGGTTCGCACCGTGTATTTACGGCGAACCTCCAGATCACTGGCGTGGCGCTGGATGTAGGAGAAGAAGTCCACTCCGTATGCCTCATTGATGACGCGAACGAGCATCTGAAAGTCCTCTCGCACATTGAAGACCTCTTCGTACACATACCTTTCCCTGAGGAAAGCATTGTGTCCGGCGAGCTTGCGAGAGTAATCAGGATCCTCCGTCTTTGGCATCCTTGCACGAGGATCAGAGTCTCGAGGGCGATCGAATCCGATGCCACCCACGGTGGGCCTGAATTCGTTCTGTGAGGCGAGGGTGACGTCCTCCAGCATCTTGGCAAGACCTCCCGGATGACGATTCATGTTCATCCAAGGTGACGAGTAACCGTTGGAGTAAACCTTCGGTTTCTTGTCCAGCTCCACGAGGTAGTTCCCTTGCAACTTCCCCATCTCGAAAGCCTTGAGGAAGAAGTGCAGGGAGTACCCCGAAAGAGGATGCTGCAACCAGGATGCCCAGTCGTATTCACCACCCAAAGACTCCCTCATCGAAGTAGTCAAGGTGTGCCAGGGGGTGACCTGAACGAGGGCATCGCCGTAGGTGCTAAGCATCGGCTGGCCAGAAGAGTCCACCATGTGCAACTTGCCATGGGCAAAGAGATGCCATGGATTGGTCCTTGCCTTGCGAAGAACCTCGTTGAGCTCCTCCTGCTGCTGGGACTTGTGTGCATCAACCTTGCCGTGGACGGTGTCCCCAGACTGGTATGCATACTTGGTGTCCCCTTCGGAGGATGTGGCTTGCCGCTCCCGCTCTGCCTTAAGCTCATTTTCGCGAATAAGCTTCTGGAGAGCCGCCGCGTCTAAAGTGGGTACCTTCTCCTGAGAGAAGCTTCCCGTTGACGCTTGGCCTGCATCCTGAGATGTCTTTGGCCTTTTCTTGGGAGCTGGCTTCGAAGGCGCTGGATCCGAACTGCTACCC